CCTCTTCTTTGCCTTGAAAGAAACATACCCCCTCCCACTCGTAACATTCAAACTGCCGCCGTTCACTGTGGGGTAGCTCTACCCGCCATCGCTAAGAAAAAGCTTTCGTAAATGACGCCGGCAGAGCCAAACCGAGTTTTAGTAACTGCCCATAATTCTGATCCCAAATGCCTGCAAAATAAAATGTCACTGTTACTGTTTCAAAACGCCTCCATTTTCTTTACCGAATACTACATACTTACTGATCAGTCTGTTAACAAAACAAAAATACCAAGATCGCTTGGACAATCGGGATGGCGACCACGTACCGCTATGCTACTGGAATACGTTTACACGCCGAAAGCAACAGTGCCGGACCCTTCGACCTTGAGCTCAATACCTTTAACCAGAGACAGCACAGCAAAAATTAAGGATCTAATGATAATGGCACTTCCTCATTTTTGAGGTTGCTTACCTTAAAATTCTTCCAGGATGTAACGTACAATTTTTCCATCTTTCTTCTTAAGCCTTGAAAAAGCGAACCATCATCAATTTTCATCGCTTGGCCCATTGAGAACTGCTCATTGTCGACCAACCGTAACGATGCGCATTCGCAATGCTGCAGAAAAACTAGGCATACAAATGTTATTCGTTTTTCCTTAATATCCGTGAGACGAAAGGAAGAATGAAAAAACTGCCTGTTTTAGCAGTAGCAGGAAGGGAACCAGCGATGCAACAGTGGTTCACTGAAGTGGGAATTAGGGGCCAAGCCGAGGGAAAGTAATTGCCAGAATTTGTATTTCACAGCAACGAATTAGTGTCATATCAAAAGGCTGAAAAAAGGTGTAAAAAAAAGAAGGAAAACCTGTCTTGCAACTTCACGAAAAAAGTTGACGCCATGCCGGAATGTTGGAAATATGAGAGAACCATACTTTTTCACTTCAGGTTTCGGGAATATCTTTATCGTTGCTTCCGTAACTACTCCGAGGATCCCCTCGGAACCCAATACTACTTGATGTAAATCTGGACCACTGGACATTCGGGGAACCTGTAGGAAAAAAATTTTGCGCTTCCAATGAGTTACAGTACCATCAACGCAAATTTTAAATACAAGTTGGAAAAAAGCAATGTACATAATTTTCCTGCTTAACTAACTAATATAACTGTTTTCATAGACCCCAATACCCCGCTTTTTACAATTTGTTACTGCTATGCTGAAGGAAGAAGGACGAGAGCTGAAAGGGGAGCTAAATACACATGTTAGCAGCGGAGAGAAAACGCCACATCTAATAGTTTCTTCTGAAAAAGGAAGAAAGCCGGCAAAGACTGCCACAATCTCCAGCAGGATAGCTTCAAAATATGCTATCCATATAGAAATGTATATCAATAACGGGTGAAATAAGAAGAATCAAAAAGGAAGGCGACAAATTTGGGCTAAGAAATTAGTAAAATTATCATAATAGTTAGAAATGTTTCGGTCCATTAAGTCGCATACATTTCTTACCATTCTTGTAGCACATTTTGATTTTTATGCAAAATTTATGCAAAAAGAATATTTAAAAAAGCTGAAAAAAGTCTGACTTGGCACTGCCTGCGGATATATCCTTGTGGAGTAATTAAGGTAACATGGACTAGCAAATCCTCAATATTTCCATATTTATTTTTCTTCATTCCTGACAGCATTGCATTTATAAAAAGGTAAAACCAAGCAAATCTCAAAAACCATGACATTTGAGATAAAGAATGACAAAGGAATCCAAAAAAAAAAAAAACGCTTATGGCATTCACTACCTAAATCATTCGAAATACGAATTTACTAAAGGAATCTTTATGTTCCGTGCAAAACTCAAATTCCTCTTAAAACCTTCTGATCGCATATCCACTCCAATATAAAAATTCCACAAAAATGATCAATTAGGAGTATTTGCAAGACATACCGGATGCCCTTGTAGCAACCCATCCACCAAGAGTGCTGAATTCCACCGAATCTGGCTCGTGACCACAAGTGAAGCCCTTCTCATTAAGCAATCTTTCCAAATTCTGTCCAACTATACCTGCCTAAAATGAATAATAACGCAAGGCATTCTCAAAATCAAAAGTCAACCTCCCCCCTCTCCCTCCCTGCACTGGCTCTATAGAATGAGTGGAAAAAGTCTAGGAATAGTCCGAGTGATAGCAAGTGCCAATAATAACCACCGCTAGCACAGCCGTCGTTGGCTTCCCCATTCAAGGATTGCTTAGAAGCGAAACGATGGTGCTCTGGCATATGCCAATCCCAAATTACCAAATGGATAAACCGTAGAGTGACTGGAGGTACCACTAGAAGAGCCAACCTCATGAAAAAAGAGAGCAAAAAAAGCCGCACAATGTAGCAGTTTCGACTGTACTCTGGATTGGGGGACGAAAAAAAATCGAACAGCAAAACCTATGCTATTTCTAAACAAGATTCGACAGCAACAGAAAGGAAAAGGTTAAATGTGGAAGTTTTGCTTCTGCAAATTACAAAAAGTTCGAAAAATTTTTCTAAAAAAAAAAAAAACTAAAATTCTAGCGATGCACGGCAAAAACGTGTAAAAAAAGTCTGGAAAGGGCTTCCATGGCAACTTCTACTCAAACAAAAAACAGGAGAGAGAACAGAACAAATTATCTGTGTAATAAACATATATTCGTTTCACAAGCCTCTACATTGTTTAAATTTATAAAAAAAAAGTTGCCTGTGCTCGGCATAGTAAATTTTCCTCATCAATGTAGATAATTTTATTCATTATCGACATATCCAATGAGCAAATTGAGCGTGCTTCATATTTCGGACATTCCAATGCACCCGACACCGATGTTCCACCACCAATTGGGATTATTGCTACGTCAAATTTTTTAGCACCTTCAATAATCTGCAAAAAAATATTTCATGGAAAGAACTGCATTTTTTAATTAACAGAAATAAAGAAAAATTACATAAAGAACATCATGATCACTCGGGCGATAAATACGGGTATCTGAAGCTAGTGATTTTACTGGGGTGCTCTTATATACCAGTCGTAATAGCTATTAGTGTACGTCTTTTGAACTTGGGCCGCATACCTCCCAGTTACTACCCACCGCTTGTTTGTTGCATAAAAAAATTA